TCTATTAAAGCCTATCCCCGACGTTACGCGAGATTTCTGGTCTTTTAGCGACAGACTCGCCGTTTTCGCCCTTAACAATGTATATCCGATAGCATGCTATAGATGGGGTGAAATTATCTTTCTTAATAAAAAGATTTTGTTGAATTGTTGAAATTATTGAATGGTAAAATTGATGAAAATTAGTTTTTCAATATTTAAAATTAATTTAAAATATATTAAAAATTTATTGAAACTAAACTAAAATTAAATTATATAGTTATTTACTATTTAATTTGTAAAATATTAAAAATGTTTAAATTATTGTAGAAATTATTGTTGGAATTAAAAAATTGAAAATAAATATCACCCCATCTATACCCATCATTAACGATACGGGTTTTTGCTAGTATATAACAAAATAAAATCGTTCATTAACACTCGCTAAATCTAACTCGACCCACCCTGAACCTTATTTGTCGGTTACTTGGAACCGGATGAGCTACGGAACGATTGACTGACCGATTCTGAGCCTACATCTTTTTGAAATCGTCTATAAACTAGATTCATATAGTGTTTAAAATTCAAAAAAATATTACTTGTACAAATGTATTTTGTGCAACTTTTTTAAAAAGCTTTACTTGTACACTTAAGAGATTTTTTAAAAATCCAAAAAAACACTTACATATGTGCATCTTGTGCAAGCCAATTTTAAACCCTGGATTCATGATTTTCCTGACAATCAATTCTACAAACACAGTTAATTTCAAATAAATGTCGTGATTATTTGCAGTAAAATAATGTCGATCAAGATGCGTATAGTGAATTTAACCACTATTGAATCTTTTTTCTTTTAACTAATAATAATAATAATGGGAATATAGTAATATGAATTCCGAAGACTGAGCTTTTCCTAAGTTATCGATATTCATATATATTTAAATAAAAAAAAAAAAATAGAACTGCTTTAAATAAAATCATGAATAATTTTATTTTTGGTTTCATTTTATTCGCTACACTTCTCACAGTAAACACAGCTCCACATCATAAAGAAGATACCAAATTTTTTCCTTGCTTTAATGATTCTTATTATACTCCACCGATTAAGGGACTTAATGTAATAATAGTACCTGACCCTCTTGTTGCTGGAAAAGATGCGAAATTTAATGTTTCTGGAAAATTAGCATATGATATTGTACCAGGAACATTTCTTGAGATTAAATTTGAAGCATCGTCAACAAATCAAACTATAAGTACTTTTACTCAATTTTTTAATGGATCCTATCCAGCCGCCAACACCTCATTTTTGATAGAAGCACCAAATGTTCCTGTTTCTAGTAATTTAACTAGAGGAGATAAGATTAATGTTATGGTTATAAATCCTGCTACCTTTCCTTTAATTATTGGCTGTTCATATGCTCTTGCTTAAATTTTAATATTTGTGATTAGTTCAATTTTCTTTTATACGAAATTTCATTTTAATCTTTTAATTTTTTTTCGACAAATTAATTTTAATTTTAATACCTCATTTTTATAACTTAATATATGCTACTGATTTGAAGCTTTAAAGACGTTGGTTATATTCATCACTTAAATAACAATTTTTAACAGTAGTGATAACTAAATTTTTAGTGTTACGTATTAGTTAAATGTACTTTTGTCGATTTCTATTTATTATCTGCTAACAGTTATTTGTTAAACAAATAGAAATTAACTAACATAGTCAACGGGCTTGAAACAATTGTTATCGCGACTCCTAAAGTAGTAATTTACGATTCTAGTAATGAAAATAAAAATAATAAAATAATATATATACAATAATATACGTTATATGAAAATTTAATACATATCTATACTTGATATAACTGATAAAGCCAAAGTTAATTTTTCGTTTTGTGTTATTATTGACCTAAAAATTTAAAAACTTGGATTTTTTCATTAATAGCAATTTGTTGTAAAATAAGGTCATTTTAATAATTTTAACTAAAGCTTGCACATGTGGCGATTTCATCGCAATGGTTTGATGTATTTAGAAATAAAAAAGTTTTATACATACAGTAGAAATATTATTGTTTAAGAGGTTACTTGCCTTGCATAGTTTGATAATTGAAATGATCAAAGTGACATAACTACATCAAAATAGATAATTTATTTTATTTAAAACAAAAAAAAACCCCCAAGGTATTACAACACACTTTTTGCTACTAATTTATTTATTAATAAGGCTGTATTAATTTGATTCTGTTTAACACAACTTTCACCCTCTTCAATTATCAAAATTATAAGAACAAATACACATAATATTAAATGATTCTCTCTATTTTTTTCAATATCTATATAGATCAATATTGGTCAAACCCGCATTAATTAACCAATAAAATTGCAGCATCAAATTTTTGCCTAAAATTATGTTTTAATCCACCTCTTACAAAGCATCTCATATTATGCATGCTAAACATAAAATCAAGTTAGTCTGGCATAAACAATTATTACTTTATGTTACACTTTTTATGTTAATAGTCAGTTATTAGAATTTCCGTTCCTGGTTTTGTAATGACGTAATGTGACTATCAAGTTCAGTTATATTAGAAACTTAAGTAATAGACTATCATAAATCAGATATGGCAGGTTATCGGATAACAGAAATGGTGAATCGATTTTAATCGTTTATAACAGGTTATCATTTTTGACAGAATAAATTTGGGAATATCGCAGTACTGTTGAACCTTTCAAAACTGATACGCATGGTAGACTAATATTGTATCAGTATTGAGAGGTTATCAGATTGGAAACATTATAAACTATTAGATTTATATCGTGGAAACGGACTTTATATATTGATTTTTTATAAGTTATCAATTTTAACAGGATCGATTTTGGGAGGTTCAATAGTAAATGATTAATTCAGTATGTAATACTGTTGAACCTCTCAAAACTAATATGCATGGTGGACTAATTTTGTATCAGTATTGAAAGGTTATCAGATGGAAACATTAGATTGATTTTTAACAGGTTATCGACTTTGACAGGATCAGTTTTGAGAGGTTCAACAATAATTTATAAAGTATAGTAAACTATAAAAGTTTTAAGCTTTCAAAACTTTGAATATAATCCACTGATGCATCCATTCCTGGTTTAACATAAGCACATTTCGTAGCTATCATTCCGTTCCTGGTATTCGTTTGTTCTTGGTATGCTATACTATACTCTCAACAACTACCTTATTCCTCCGGAAATAAGCACCCCTGAAAGTAAGCACCCCTACAATTCATATATACCCGAAAATAAGCACCTCTTATATAATATAAATAAGTAACTAAATATCAAATCATTCAAATTATTAGTTGAGATTATACTTGAAAATAAGCAACCTTATAGCAAAAAAGTGTGCTTATTTTCGGAGGAATACGGTAATTGAATTATTAATTAATTTAATCAACAAAATTTCTATGTATAATAAGATTGATTAACGAATAAGGGAGTTTTTATTCCTTTAATTACTAAGTATGTAATTTATCTTTCAAGTTACTATATCATATATTCGGTATTTTATATTCGAATGATTAGCCATTAAATTTCCAAATCTAAATTGAGATCTAAATAATAATACAGAAAATAAAGTAAACCAATAATTTTTATACTAATATAATATATAATATAATACATATAACTTACCAGGAATTTCATCTGTTATATGCATAGTTGATATAAATTCACTATTCCATGGCGGTTGCTTAAGTGGATTAAAGGTTTTAACATTATTGTTTTTGCTATTATTTGCATCCTTAAATTGATTATCATTTATTCCAGCAAGATACCATCCTCTTAATATTTCATATAATTCATTAATATTTGGTCTATTTGATGGATTATTATCCCAACATTTTACCATTAATTCTTTATAACATTTAGGTATAACTACATTTCCATTAGCTTGTGGGCGTTCTCCATTACAAATAGCTACAGACAAATAAATATCATCGTGCAATTCATTAGAAAAAGGTAATTCTTTATATGCAATAACCCACATAATAATTCCAAAACTATATATATCCGAAGCTGAAGTATATTGGTATTTTTTTAAAACTTCTGGTGCGATATATGGTAAAACACCAAATACACCAGTGTTTACAGAGCTTGTTGCATCCTTGTCTTCATAACATGACAATCCAAGATCAGAAATGTATATAGAATTATTATAACCGACTAAAATATTTCCAGTATGAAAATCTCGATGAACAAGACCAGCAGAATGTATTGTTTTTAATCCATTGGAAGCCTCCATTAGAATTCGTAATTTTTCAAACCAATCTATATTTCCGAAATTCAGTTCTAAATATTTCCAAAGATCACATTTACATAGTTCTGTAATAATTAAATAAGTATTGGTATTAGGGTCTTTACTTAATCCATAACATTTAAGAACATTGGATTTTATTAAGTCATTCTGACACGAAATCGCAGACACTATAAGTGCAATTGGCTATATAAAATTATTGTAAGCATATCAGATTATGAAACAAGTATAAATATTAGTAGGTCATCACATACCTCTCTGAAAATTTCAGAAGTTTTAGATTCATTAGATATATTATAAGACGAACTTTCGATGCTTTTAATAGCTACGTTGCATTGTCCTAATCTGCAAATTTCACCAAATAACATCATATCCAAAGGACCATCTAACCAAACAGCTGACTGAACAGTGCCATAGCCGCCTTTTCCAATAAATTCAAAACATTTAAATCGATCATAATGGATCCATTCAATATAATCAGTCCAATGTTTAGCGTTTAATTGATAATATTTAATTAATTCATCAATTTCATTATCGCCACTTGTCCAGTTTTGAAAATTATTTTGAAAATATTTTTTTCCACAACTATTACACCATATCCATCCTGAACGCTGTTTACCACAATAAATACAAATTGGTATTAGGAGATGAAACGCAAATTTTCCAAAAGAAAACCAAAGTATCAATTCATTTTTGAATGCTTGTAATGAAATATTTTTTCCCATAGTCATTCGAATAAATAAAATACATAAAAAAACAAATAAAGAAATAGATGTTATAGAAAGAAATTCATTAAAACTTAAATAAAATGTATTGGAAAATGACTTTGAAACTAATATAAACTCTGCCGTGCATTTAAATAAAATTGTTAATAATATTATAGACATAGCATGAGTTGCTAATCGAACAGTTATTTCGATGTAGTCTTCTGATTTAATATGACTAAAAACCGAAATAGTCACAATTATTGCCATTAAAATAATAATGATAAAAGCAAAACTGTATAGATCATACATAGCTGATAAAGCAGGTAAACTTGTTACAGCAATTATTCCTCGATAATGCTTTTTCAAGTAATAAAAAAATTCTCTAATGCGTAGATCTAAATTTAAGCAACAATAAATGCAGAGTCCAGTGTAAAGTAACAAACTTCTATACGGTGAATCCATGTCATCTATCAAATACCCTAAACACATATACGATAAAGTAATTAGAATTGACGTGAAACCAATTTTTAAAATAACCTTCATTTTTATTTTTATTTTTTTTTTTACAAAAAGAAGAGATGAATTATTTTATGAAAATGATGGAGTTAAATTATATTGTACAATTTTAACAAACGTAAATTTAGGATGTAATTTTTTTTATAACCAACGTCATGTGGAGTTTTGTTTATTACACTGTATTACGTACGTACGTACGTACTAATGCATGAAATATTATTACAGTAACCAGAAGATCACTAACGTAGCACCACATAGTATGTGTGCCATAAAGTTCAAAAGTTTTTTTTTTACATTTTTAATAAGTAAATGTAAAAAAAAAATTTCTTATGCAATTAATGATAGAACATCTGACATTTTATCAGGAACGAGTGGTTAAATCACAAAGTTATGGAAAGATGTACGTTCTCAATCCTAATACAATAATGTAAGTTGCAATGGATTCAACCAATTTTTACCGACACCCATTTAATCTAAAAGGCCATTTAACGGACATAAATGAATTCAATATATTCTAATAATCGAATAAAAGTTCTTGAGAAAGAATGTTATTAAAGTTGCACACTGAACAATTCTCCGAATTATATTCTGTCAAAGTTTACCACTTTTGTTGGCGATTAAGAGCTGTACAGACTTATAGGACCTACGCTAAAGAATATTTGCTGGGAGTCTAACGATTCCAAACACAAAGATTACGTATAGTAAAAATATTGGTGCAGTAAACAAGTATCAGTAAACATACATATGGTATTTTTACTACGTGATACGTACTCCTAATTAGTAAACAATGTTACATATTTGTTTATTTCAGACGTTTTGTTTCATGTTTAAAAAATGGATTCCAATGAACTTTATAAACACGGATATAGTTTTCAACATGACATGAAATAGAAGTTGAAAAAGATGAAAAGAAAGCTTTTGAATATTATATAAATGCTGCTGAATTAGAAAATGCAGATGCGATTTATAGCGTTGGTTATTGTTATCGTCATGGAATCGGAGTCGGAAAGGATGAAAAGAAGTCTTTCTATTATTGTAAAAAAGCCGCAGATATGGAAGCTCCAGTGAGGTCCAGTGAAATTTAATAAGTCAAAATAGTATATAGATAAAAAAAAACTATTTTATATTTATGTAATGCGATACAGATTTGTCACACGTAAAGTTATATTAAACGCATATACATAATCTATTTGTAATAGTGCAATCCTGTAATCAAAAAAATCAGACCGAAAATATTATATGCAAGCTAAGATTGTAATTGGATCGTTAAGATTCTATATCAATTAATGATCATATATTTAACTTTTTCATAATTCTATGCACAAGCCCAATTTGGTGGTCCATAATCTCAAAAATCATGGAACTGCCATATTTTTGTACCATTACTTTGCTAGCCTTTAAATTGATATCCATACTTTAAACTAATAACATAATGACGATAAGTATCCCTGTCAGTAAAGTAGGTTTTCAGATTATCCTAAAATAAAAAGATTTGTTTTTGAATGTTTTAATATTCCTAAATTGTTTCAAATTATCCTAAATTGCCCTACATACGAAAGCACTAATGATTGCATAAATGCACTTTTGAACACACTTTACAGATCTACAATGTAGTTTATTATATTTGTGACTAAGTTGGTAACAGTAAAGCGAGTTATGTTATATTTCAGTCATGGGTTATTATGAAATAATTATGATTGGTCATTGATATACATAAAGAAGAAATCGGCGATAAAAGAATGAACACAAAGCGTTCAAATACTAAAATTTATTTTAATATTACTAATACCTATACAAGAAATTAATAAATAAAATTTTTCGCACATATTAAATTATAAAGTTGATCAAGTATCAAATTTAGGTGGATACTGTGTGAAGAACGGTATCGTAATTTGGGGATATATTATATTAAAATTAGTACCCGAATCTTAATCATGGAGGTTTTGTTTATTGTAAATACTGTAAGCAGTGGCCAATTATAACCGAAGAATAATTTATTTAATTAATTCTAATTAGCCACTTCTCGTGGTACACGTCAGTTACGATATAACAGACTCTTAATATAACGGAGACTAAGTAAAATCTCGATATAATGAATCAAGATTAAATACAGCTTGATATAATGGATTTATTAATAACCATAAGAAAGCGGATTTTAAAAAATTCCTCACTATGTGCCCGAGGTATTACGTGAGAGTGACGTGTATACTTATTTTTGTAAATTCAAATGTTTGATATTAGGGTGCTTCATAATTAACTTATTTCGAAAATAAATGGGGTCAAAATATCTTATTCATATAATTGCTAGAGATGGTAAAATGCAAAAAAAGAATTTATGGTGCAAATGTAAATAGATATGAGCGGCGCCAAGGAGACTTCAATCATATAAAATTTATATGAATGAGAACACATTTTCCCTTGCATCGCTCATAAAATACTTACATATCCTATTTCTTTTTTAAAATTTCGAAAGCAGAAAATGAAATAGGAGTTATCCAGAGACGAATGAGACCCCCTTTTTTTTTGATATTGTTATTATATGTTACTATTGTAATAATTAATAAAGAAATATAAATTAACATTATAGTATTCTTTTATTAGTGTTACTAAAATATTATTATGCCTTTAATATGTAATTGTCGAAATATAAGATATTTTAAAATATATATGGGAAGATATCAAATTTCAAAAGAAAATTCACGATCATAAAAGTATTAATTATTATTATTATTATGTAATAAATAAGCTTACAAATCAAAATAACTAAGATTTATGAATCACTAATTTTGAATAAATACATCACTAATTTAATTCGAAATCAAATATAATTATTTCATTTCAAGCCTTAAATCGAGGCCATTTTACATTATTTCACTTAACCAGATTTAGTGGTTGAAATGAAATGATCGACATTTTGAAATCAAATGAAATTAAGGATTTAATTTTAATTTTAATAAAAATTTTTATAGTGATTATGGATATAAGTCACGGATGTTTGCTTTACCAGTACCTTTACAGAAACCTTTGATTTTTGCTAAATATGTATACTTTATAATTATTATAATAAAAATATAATAAAAATATTTTTTAGTCTGTTAAATTACTAAAAATTAGCTTGTTATCATCTTAATAAAATATAAGCTTTGCTAAGATATTGGTAATATATTGGTAATATTATTTAATTATTTTAAACCGATTGTTCTTATATTATTGAAATTTTTTTTATTATATTACTAGTAGACAATAAAAAGATATTTTTAATATTGTAATTATATTATAAATATAATATACATCAAATTAAAAGTGATTTAATAGAACAAAAAAATATATTTTTAAAATATGATAATAATATTTTTAACATATGGGGTTGAGTCAATAGAAATCAAGCAAATTTTTTATAATAAAAATTTTTCATAACTTTAAACAAGAATAACTTGACAAAACCTTGGCCAAATTTAATAAAAATTTTTTAAAATAATTTTTACAAACTTGTAGAATTAATTTAAAAAAAAATTTATTAAATTTGATTAAGTTTTTGTCAAGTTATCCTTGTTTAAAGTTTTTAAAAAATTTATTAAAAAATATTTGCTTGATTTCTATTGACTCAACCCCATATGTTTAACATATATTTATCATATAATAACATTAGTAATATTGTAACTATATTATAGTAATATTGTAGCTATATTGTAAACATATTTAGCAAAATCAAAGGTTTCTGCAAAGACAATTCTCTATTTTTGAGGTACATGTAATAGGCAATTTTTGAATCTGTGCCCGGTTTGTTGAATATCTACTTAAACATGATCTTCAGCATGATCTAGCCGACCAATCAGATTCACGTTTTAATAGTATATATAATTAATTTTTTATTCACATAAAAGTATACTGCTTATAAATAAAACCATTCATATGAGAAATTTTAGTTCAATTTCTATGAACGAAATATTACTTATCATCTATTTTCAACTAGATTTTAGATTGTATAATTTATTAAACTTAGTTTTAAAATATATAGAACATCCGATATTATATAGCTATTTCTTTTGTATTTTACCCGATATTATATAGCTATTTCTTTTGTATTTTACCCGATATTATATAGCTATTTTTTTGTATTTACCCATATATATGACGAAGGTAAAAACTTGTTTATTTAATTAAATAAGTATCATTATTAAAGCTTATGGATTCATATTCGCATTTGTATTCCCATTTATGTTCGCATTCAAATAAACTTTTTAAATAATTATTTGACAAATATTAGGATAAACAATTTATTTGAATAAATTATGCGAAATTCTAGATATTGGTTGTTCTATATTTAATAACTACAATTATTTTCGTTTACTGGTATTTGAATAAATAAAACTATTCTTTATTTAGCAAATATTCAATCAATATATTTTAATCTGAATAATTCAATTATTTACCATATTCTGTGGAGTAAAATACCCCTTAGTATAATACCCCTATTTTCTTTTAGTAATTTCAGAGTAAAAGATCCAAGTACTATTACTATGCACAGTTTATAATATGATCGGTTATGTAGTACCTCTGTGCAGTGTATAAAATCAATGTGCACAATGTGCTCATATGCACATGTTTTTTTATCTTTACATATAAAATTTTACCTTGTGCACATTGTGCACATATTTGTGCACATGTTTTGTAATTCAGATTTTATACACTGCCTCTGTGGTATTGTACACGTTTCTATTACAGTACCCCACTTAGTATAGTACCCGGGT